TTATTTCCAGCTAAAGTTAGTTTTGATTGATTCACTTCCAGCAAAATTATCATTTGTTATCAAGACGACGGCGTACTCTCTAAACAGACTTTAAACGCGAACCTGTGACCTGATGGCGTTCACATGCGCATTAAGAATTAGTACTATTAGTACTTATGAAGAAGATATTAATGGCATATTCTGCATCCCTTAATCCACCCAATACCTAAAACTTAACAACTACCTTACTGACTACTAATAAGCAGTAATTAGGAGTTTACTGAGGAAAAAGTCATAGTTAATAGTGATAATTGGACCCTAATCTAAAAGCGTGACCAAAACTATATTCCAAACCAAAAATCTAATATGTTAAAAAGTCATTTGATTACATATGAAAAATTGATTAAATATTAATTACACTTAAAAATATTTTGAATTCATTTGATTACCACCGTTTTTGAGAATCATCTTGTATTAACTCATAAAACACAAAATTCAGAAAATTTGAGACAATTTATTTGAAATAAATCAAATGTTTCTTAGGGAAACAATATTGTTACAATTTTAATAAATTATTAAACTGCAAAGATTTTATGAATTCATCTGATCAGACACTCCTTTTAATTATTAATTGGATTAAAGCCTAATCCAGAAAAAGTAAAACTGAAAACACAGAATTTGGGAAACAATAAAATGATTTCATAGGCCCCTAATTATTATACTGTATTATATTATGTCTGTCAGTTCTAGTGTGTTTATTATAAATGATTTGAGAATGTTCCAGAGAGCATCTTAATCTCTGAACCCGATTCTGCACTCATAAAAATGCTCTGATACCAAAAAAACAAAAACCGCAAAGTGTGTGTACAGTATAGTGTTTGTGTTCTAGGGCAGGGACGGTTAACGCGTTACACGTGACGCCTACCGCGGGTCTGAGCTCATCTCCGCCATCACCACAAAAAAAAAAACATTGGCCTGCACATGTGTGCACGTTGTGGGGTATTTAAAGTGGTTTACCGCTATACCACGGGAATTTCTAGCTTTTCAACCGCGGTTAGAAAAAATCCACACCGTCAATACAATATGAATTGATCCAAAGTGCTGTACAGTGTACAAAGCAGGTCTACAACAACCACAACAAAAAAACAATTACAGGTTTCCAAAAGCTAAAGAATAAAAATACTAGGGCTGTAGTCAACCAAAGAAATCCTTAGTCGACCAAAGTCCTGTGCAACGATCAGTCGATAAAAAAAAAAAAAAATGTTTTGCATTTTGATTAAACATTTATTAAACAATTGTCATAGAGCATTTATAAAACAACAACGAAAAAACATCAATAATACATAAAACTATAATAATAATACAATTCTTTGAAAATTAAGTGTTTTTTTTTTACTGCAAAGTGAGGAGCTCTGTCCTAGGTCTATAGTGACAGTCACAATGACCACACCACACGCTACAAAAAATATAATGACAAATCCTAACAAAAGCTCTCGTTTATACAGGCTGTATATTCTTCTTTACTTTCAAAGCTATGGGTTAACTTTTGTCCAGCCGATCTAGGCGTTTTAAAACAAACACACACAAAAAAACAAATAGCCTAAAAAACAATCCTAATAATAATAGGCTGTATAGTAGGAAGGCATATAGGTTTATTTGCGTTTGGTTACATTATTTAGGCTATTTTCAAACGCGTCAAGTGTACAAATAAAAACAAAAACATAAGAAAACACAATCTATTGAGTCAGCATAATGAAGGGCCTGCTCACATATCACGTCTTTTGCGCGCTCAAGTTCGTTATTTCAAATGTAGGCGCGCGGTGTGCGCGCTCATAATGGAAGCGGCGCGAGGCGCTCGTTTTTTCCAAGCGTGCCCGCGCCGCAGCAGCGCAGCCAGCCACAGGTGCGCTTCCCGACTGTTCTACGTGGTGCGCTAAACTGTGGCGCTGTTACAAAATAGCCTAAATTACAGCATTTAAAGTTGGGGATAAAACATAGGCTAATTATATTTAGAATACAGTAATATATAACTGCCTATAAAGGAATAAATATCAAAGAGTAAATCAATGAAAATTTCTTTCTATTGGTAAAAAATAAATAAATAAATATGCAACTGGTCGACCAATGAGAATGTCAGTCGACCAAGACGGCATCGACCGATTAGTCGACTAAACGACTAAAGTTGACAGCCCTAAAAAATACGATTTAAGAGTAGACTTAAACATGTCAAATGAAGGAGCAGACCTCACATGATAGGGGAGACCATGACACAGCTTGGGCCGGGCCACAGAAAAGGCCCGATCACCCCTTGATTAGCGACACCGTTTCACAGTTAAGAGCAGGTGATTGGAAGATCGAAGTGCCCTAGCAGGACAGTATGGCACAAGAAGATCACTAATATACCTTGGTGCACGGCCAGACAACGCTTATATACAAACATTCGGATTTTAAAATCAACCCTGAATTTAACGGGAAGCCAGTGAAAGGATGCTATAAAATAGGGGAGATATGGTCCCTCTTTTTAAACCCAGTCAAAAGTCTTGAGGTGATTGATAATGAGCGACACCTGCGCGACGCACCGGTCTCGTATCTCTCATGGAGGAGCAGAAGCATAAACGGAGGAGCGACGACAGTGAAGATCGAGAGAGGACTAGGCCAGGACTATTTTATTTGATGTTTTGTTTTATTATGTGTGGCGGCAGTCGACCGTGAGAGGCTGCCGTCTTTACTTTCGTTTCGTATTTGTTTATTTATTCAAATCTTTTGAATGTTCGCCGGTTCCCGCCTCCTTCATCCAATAACAACGAACTGTGTTACAGACGCATTTTGAACAACTTTCAATCGTGATAATGAAGATTGAGGGAGACCAGAGTAAAGAGAGTTACAATAATCTAATCGTGATGTCACAAGTGCATGAGTCACAACCTCAAGGCCCCATTTACACTGCATTGATCAAGTGACCCAAATCTGATTTTTTCCTCTCATGTGGCACAGATCGGATATGACCCATGAACGTATAAGCAGGAAAAAAACGCATGGATTTCGATTTTCTCAGATCGGATTCAGGCCTCACTCATATGTGGTAATAACTCGGATATGAATCGGATATGTGCATTTGCGTGTGCCATGTAAGCAGACAAATCAGATATTCCCCAGTAAATGCGAGTCGTACGTCATTAAAAAAGTGACGTTAACTCTGGTGGACACCACCAACTGAGATCACATGACTTATTATAGGCGCGATCGAGGACGAAGGATACACACAGTGGAGCAATGCGGAGGTTTCATGTCTTTTGAGTGTTTGGGGCGAAGAGACAGTGCAGGCAAAAATGCAGGGTTGTTACAGAAATAAATCCATGTTTGAAGACATTTCACGAGATATGGGGAGGCACGGTTTTAAGCGCTCGTGGCTAAAGTGCCACCGTAAGATAAAAAGCTTAATGACTTTTAAAAATATTGTGGAAAGCAAAACACTAGATAATTTTATTCGCATTTGCATCCATTGTATTTCGTGCTGTTTTACTTCCTTTTCCGGGTCAGAATGTCTACATTTGGTAGTTTCAGCAGTGTATAGTGTAAATGCAAAAATCGGATACGGGTCACTTTTAAAAGATGATGTAAGCGGGTCGTCAAAAAAATCGGATTTAGTCGGAAAATCGGATTTGGGCATCAAGACCTGCAGTGTAAATGCAACCTAACGCTTTGCCTGAAAGACGACGCTTCTACTTTGCAATAGATCTCAAATGGAAAAAGCTTCCTCTAATAACAGCACTAATTAAAAAATAGTGAAGAGTCAAAGATCACTCCAAGGTTTTGATTTGTTTGCGTACACTGGTTGAGAGAGGACCTAACTGGGCTTCCAGAGCAGGGGAGGAGTTTACAGGACATTTTTAATCCTCCGTTTCATGCTCTACCACCAAGCACAAATAATCACACATTAAAGTCAAATAGCCATCAGCTACAGTGGCTGTGTTTACATGCACGCATTTCGCTTCAATCGGAATGAATTTATCCTGATTGATGAATCTGAACATAGTGTTTACATCAACCATAAATAAAGTGATCGGGTTGATGTGGCTTCATTGGCATAATAAAGTTATATGAAATATAAACATTTAAATGGTGGCGGTCATAAAATTTGCCAGATTTATTCAAACATGCATTAAACATTGAAGAACATTAAAAATGATAATGAATATGTAATATGGTGCATATATTTAGCAAAATGCTCCTCTCTAGAGTTCATTTTTCTAGCTGACTAATGAGCCTTTGGTCACCGGATATGGTTTCTCTGAGGTAAATGTGACGTTATGCTACAGTGGATATATTTACATGCACACATTTTGCTTCAATCGGAATGAATTAATCCTGATTGATGAATCTGAACATAGTGTTTACATGAACCATAAATAAAGTGATCGGGTTAATGTGCATCAGGTTTATGGCACAAGCTTCTGATCAGAATTGATTTTTGTACATGCACACACTGCACAAATATAGTTTCTGTTGTTTGCACGTACTATTCTCCTGCATTGCTTCTTTTCTTTGTTTTAAAGAGACGACTTCATATTAATCTATTTCAGGTCCTGATTAGGAGACGGCGAGCACATGAACCGTTATGCCGTGCATTTATATTTATCAAACAGTAAAAACGTCTTTTCCCACGCCCAAAATAAAGAGTATGAAGTGAAGACTGATGGGACGTTGTTCTGATTCACTTCACAGACAATAAGTGGTAGGAGAATTTAAGAATAACAAGTTACTCAACAACAACTGCAGCTCGTTCTGCACGTCATTACATCATTGTCATGTGTTTGCATGTTCTCTCAATTGGATTAGAAATGGAGTAAACCACCCCTTTCAATCCCATCAAAATTTGATTTGGATCAATTAAGGTGTTTACATGAAGGCTTTTCCGTCTGATTGAGCCGTCAATCTGATTACTAACGCATGTTAAACGTAGCCATTGTGTGCGAGTGAAAAGCAGAAGTGTAGGGTGGGCAAGGATCTGTTAGTCTCACCATGTTCTGTGGTTTGCCCAGCAGCATATGAGCGTTCACCACCTCCAGCATATGTGAAGTGACTTCATTCATGTCCTCCAGCACTCGCACGCTGAACGCAACCAAAGACCTGTTATTCTGTAACGACAACCGAAAGATTCAGTTTGACACTTTGTGAAGGTGAAAACGCACAAAAACAGACACTCTGTTCACACTTTCATATGTAAAAGCACTACAATGCACATTTACATTCAGTTCTGACCTGAAAAGAGCGGAGGTTGCCGGAGACTTTGACATAAGTGCTTGGAGGAATCACAGAGTTATCCACACCCATGTCCTGGAGAGATTGAGGAACAAATATATGTAGCTAGTTCACTTTTTGATCAGTTTCCATGACTTTTCCATGCATTTGTGGTTACTAAAGAATTACTTTTAAAGGGTCATGAAACACAAAAATGTTTATGAGATGTTAACAGATATGTACAGGTTGTAAATCACTGAAAATGATAGCATTCATTATGCTTATTATTAAAGCTGCAGTAGGGAGTTTTGAGAAAACGTTGACTCAGCCTGAAAATTTGAACAAGCACAACTTACAGGTCCCACCCCTTGCTCTCTGCTGCGCTACAGCCCTCCCTCCACAGCTCGTCCTCCACAGCGGAGCCCGTCGTGAACGCGCAGGCTAGTAAACAGGGCCACCGATGACGGCGGATAAAAAGTTATATGGCACATTCACTAATAGGGACTAAATGTCAACAATATGCTTTACATTGACTATGGCCTGCCCATACTTTGACTACAAACTTGGTCCTCAAATCATTATGTATTTTGCAATAGCCTACATGTAACTTTATAACGTTGCACTCTTTCTATAAGTTATAAATAGCTAGTAAGATAACATTAATATAACGGTAACTAACGTTACAGTATGTAAGTAATTATTCTAGCGATATATAATGCTAGATAAGGTGTGCTAGTACATTATTTCAGCAACATGACAAGCCAGTGAATTAGCAGGTTTCAATTGTTGCTTAGCAGAGTGCGTGACATTTTATCTACATGTTATGCGGCTAGAGTTTTGACACCGAGTCAACGGTGTCATTCTTTCTTTTTCGCTTGTTTATCGTCATCAGTCTTTTTCCTTTTACCTCTTTGTTTTATGAGCAGGTGTCACTCGAGAATTGGCAGTTTAGGTTGTTTCTCTGTCATAAGCACAGCTGCAGCACGCCGGCAATCTTGAGTTTGAACGACGGCTCGCGCTGTGCAAGAGAGGGGTGTGATCAGCGCGTACACGAGCGTGATTGACACTGCTAAGACATTCCTCCTGGCTCTGATTGGTTGTTTCTGACCGGGAGCGTGTATTTCTGCAAATGGCAATAGGACCACTGGGAGGAGCCAGAAGAGCTTGATTTTTACACAGATTATCTGTCTCATATTCTACTGTCAGGACATAATGACAGTTTTAACAAATATGTAAAAAATATTTTTTACAAAAGTTACCTACAGCAGCTTTAACCCTCTGGGGACCAGAAACGCGCCCGCGCGTTTTGCCGTTTTTTTTTTCACATAGCAGAAAAATAGACTTAAAATACTCTGTTGATTTTGATCGTACATATAAGTGTTATACATCAATCGATCCTGTTAATTGTCTATTATTTTTCTGTATACTCACAATAAAAACAAAGTTTTGTGCTTTTTGTCAAATAAAGAAAAATAAACATGATGCGAGTTTTGCCTTCTCTTTGTCAGTGCAGTCCATTCTGAAACACGTCCGAAAAATGAACTCTAACTCTGCAAATACTTGTCATACAGGCACGAGAATTTTCTTTATGAAGCTTGAATTCTCTTCTTTTCAATGAAGTAATTTATATAAAAAACAAATATTCTCAGTTTATGTAATCTGTATGAAAAGAGAGTGCTGTCAGATTTTTTTCCCCCAGCTCATTACACTTCATTACGCGTTAATCTGACACGCCCACGGAGGACGCGCGCTATTCAAACGCAAATGTTGAGGCAAGCCATGACAATGCCCACATCAGCCGTTCCACCGCGGCGGTAAAATGTGGGGTGTATTTTCTGCCTTTTACCGCCAAGAGGCGCTACAATCATAGACTCTGAAAAGTGTTTGTTTATTCTCTCTAATGCGTAATCTGCCGCCGCACCGCACTGATTCAGAGCGATTGAAAGCTGGTAGCAGATGAATTCAACAAGTGAAACGTAGTTAAAATAATTCATAATCACAATACTGAAATTAGGCTACTGAAATGAAATTGAATAAATAATGAAAAAATAAAACATTGCAATAAAAACATTTACAGACGTACAGACGATAGCTCAGTGGTTAACGCAACAACACGAGCTTCGAGGAGCTTCAATCGACCCGAGATTGAATCTCAATGTAGCATACATGTTGGCCAACAGCGTTTATATTTTACCTTCTTGATGCTTAAATAGCTAACTGTTTATAACTGTTTACTTATTTAAAGTCAAGAGTTTTGTTTAATTATTATTACAACATAAATTTGCTACATTCCTGGAACTGCAGCGCTGCACAAAGGACATAAACTGATGAAGGAAGATTGTCAGCCGATTGCATCAGAAAATGAAAATGAAGAAGCACGTCTTTAGTCTGCTAAATTATTGTGTAATGTAAAAGAACACTAAAACTACTTAAGTTTGAAACCAAGTTCGAACATTTCAAGGTTTAAATAAAGTGTCGGAACAGTTTTTTTTTATTTAAAACAGGGTTGCATCGGGTTTAGAGTTTATTTCTTTTGCGATGCAAAATAAGAAACACTAGGCTAATCTTATTCTTGCGACATTTTAAATTTATATTGCCAAAGAAATGACAGCTATATTAAACCAGGGTATCTGCACATTTTTTAACAGCAAATTTAATGACTTTTAAGACCTTTTTAAGTCCTCTAAAAGGCAAATTTAAGACTTTACCACGACAAAAAAAACCAGGAAAATGTTCAGCACGACACGACAGTGTTAATTTTGGCAGCCGTTTTTGTTTTAGTCTTAAGATGAAAATGCTTATTGGTCTTAGTCACATTTTTGTAATTTTCTCTTTCATAGTTTTAGTCTAGTTTTAGTTGACTTCAAGGTAACATTTGAATCAAGGTAACAGGCTGTATTGACAATTAACTCTTTAGCAGTAGCACTTGTGCAATTCTACATATCCCTGTTCCTTAGTTCAGTGGTACTCCAATTTTTTAGAGTGCCGTAACCCCTCTTGCACTTAGACTGCAGTCACACCTTTTCCATTAAAGGTGCTCTAAGCGATGTCATGTGTTTTTTAGGCCAAAACATTTTTTGTCACATACAGCAAACATCTCCTCACTATCCGCTGGCTGCCTGTCCCCTGAACACACTGTAAAGAAACGCGATCTCTGTAGACAGCCCATGCTTCACAAACAGCACCAAAAACAAACTGCAGCGACCCGCTCCCCAAAACATAACAAACTGTTCCAGCCAATGACCGACAAGAAGGGTTTGGGGGTGTGGTTTGGGGGGTTAGTGTGCGGATGAGGAGGAGGGAGGGTCTAGCTAGCCTCCGTTTTGTTTGACAATAGTTCGAACGTCAACAAGAAGTGACGTCACCCAGGATCGCTTAGAGAACCTTTAAGGGACAATATCTGCCCCTTTTAATCGATTTTTTCCAGTTAATTTTTTACCTTTATAAATACTTTTATAAAAGAAATAATGCTTTAAATAAAACAATGTTCAATAAATATGCAATGATGGTAAAAACGAGGTGATACTTTTTAACATTAAATTAAAATCGCCAGTAGGTGGCGGTAAGTCACTGTCTTTATGAGTGAGTCATCCGTCATCGAGTCATTCATTCATTCAGTATCAAACACAACAGTCTATGGTAACAAAGCAAGTGGCTGTATTTATGAACGGGTCATTGAATCTCACGATTCGTTCAAAGCCACAGATTCGTTCTCGAATCACCACTGTCTGCTGCCGTGGCTTTTGTTGCAAAATAGCAATAATATGCAATAATATGATCAACATTAAAAACACTGCTGGATATCAGCCTGTATTGATCGCAGATTTAGTCACACAAACAGCGCAAGCGGCTCGTGACAGAATAAAGACCAACTGAATGACACTTTAATTAATGTAAGTAGAAAATCTCAAATGAAGATCACTGAACTCCAGCTTACTTGTCAGTGTTTTCAGATCATCCGCGCTTCTTCAGCAGTGTAGAGAGCGCGCGCGAGCATGGTTGCCAGATACTATTGACAAGACCGGGTAGAAAGCGTGTTATTTTAACAGAAAAGCTCTGACTGGGGATTTAATTATTTAAATCTGGCAACCCGACCATAAGCATGAACGGTCGTAAACACCGTCTGTAATGTGTTGTTGTCTCCTACAAGAAATTTAAGGTCCGTACGTGAAATTTAAGACCTCCTTATTGGAAATTTCAGATTTTAAGACATTTTCAGACCTTAAAAAGCGAAAATGTTATTTAAGACCTTTTAAGACTTTTTAAGGACCCGCGGGGACCCTGTAAACAATTAAAACAGTAGGCCTACAAAACGAAAATTGTCCAAAGCAACATAATTAAATTAAAACATGCGTTTTTCTTTGCCTCTCTCGCGCTGAATCTCTTTTTAACAAGTTTATTTAGTCTCCCTCGCTCTCCATATGAAAGAGGAACATTAACACCTAGGCCTATTGTCCTGCGCGCTCGATACAGCACTGAACTGTCCCTCCAACCCCCCACCGGCTATCGGAGTCTGAGGCTGATTTAACACAAAGAGAAGTCGCAATTCACACTTAAATCGCTATTCTAGACAGTGTTGATAATGAAGGAATTAAATGATTTAAGTTACATGTAGCCTAGTGATATTTCTGTCATAAAAGTTTATTACTAAATATTTCATTATTTCAGTAATTGATGAAATAAAACTGGTTTGGGCCAGCTTTTTCCAAGCAAAACTAAATATAATCTGAAAAAACGCATGTTAATTTGTTGTCATGAACAAAATGTTCAACTCAATATTAAAGTCTACAGGGATCTTTGGATCCTTTCAACCAGGCATGCAATTTGTGAATTAAGTTTTTTTTATTTTTTTTATTATTCAAATAAATATCGAACCACGGTGCTTCGTGGTAATGCTGCTAAATTAAATAACATGTATTGAATAATTATGAACTTAAATTAAACAATATCGCAACATTTCGACAAATACATTATTTGATCTGTTTTTACATTTTAATTCAGGGCGATTTAGCCTGCTACATTTAATTAGAGCGAGATTTTCACCCTTGTCATTTTCTCATTGGGAAGCGCTTACAGGCTACATGTTTGAGTACATC